GGCCAGCTGCCAGATGCTGCCCCACGGGGAGAACCTGCAGGACGTGCTGCCCCAGGAGCTCTACCGCCGCCTCAAACGCCACCTGGACTACATCAAGCTGATGCTGCCCCACTGGATGACCCCGGACCAGCGGGGCAAAGGGCTCTATGCTGACTACCTCTTCAATGCCATCGCCGGCAACTGGGAGCGCAAGAGGCCTGTCTGGGTGATGCTCATGGTGAACTCCTTGACGGAGACGGACATCCGCTCCAGAGGGGTGCCAGTGCTTGATCTCTACCTCGCCCAGGAAGCTGAGAGGATGAAGAAGAGGACGGGCGCGGTGGAGAGGGTGGAGGAGCAGTGTCACCCGCTGAACGGGCTCAACTTCTCCCAGGTAAGGAGGCTTCTGGGCCTCATGGCTTATCCCAGAGGTATGGGAGCCGTTCTCGTCGTGTTTTGGTCAGTTTGTCAGCGTGAACCCCAAACCTGTTGCAGCAGGATGGGTCGCCCACGGGCCTCAGCAGCTTCTGTGTTGGGCTGCCCATTCTCCACTGCACCGATCTGTGCTGCCTGCAAAAATCCCATGGTGTGCGCAGCGAGTTTATCGTGCGTATTATTTGTTTGAAAGGCAAATGTCCAGGGTGTGAACATGTGTGTCTGCTGGCTTGCCACTGGTGAGGGAAAGTTCCACGCCTCCTGTCCTGTCCCGAAGCTGGGCAAAAAGTGCTTTTTTGTTTGTTTGTTTGTTTGTTTTTAAATAAAGCGTCCCTGTGGTGTTTGTCAAGAAGAGGATAAAACATGAGCAAGGAAGAACAAAATTTCTACATTGTTCAAATAGATTTAAGTGTGTGCAAGCTGTGGGTCTTCTTTTTAGTAGTCACTCCATGTCAAAACAAACTGGCCCACGTTGGCCTCTTATACTGGAGCAAAATTAGTGTTCAATCTGTGTGGATTTTTTTAATTTTAGAACAGGTAAAGTTCAGCAAAAAGAAAAGGATGTAGATTAAGAAATGAAAGTTATTGGTGTAACTGGACTCCAGAATTCTTTCAGTGGATTTGGCTTTAAACAACCAAATACTAAGCCATGCGATCTATTTCATTTCAGTGGATTAATCAGGAACACAGTCACAGCTATTGACTTTGCTTTGTGAAACTGTTTATATGAAATGAGATTTACTAGAAATTCAGGAAATGAATGTGTGTGGAAGAAAACAAACAATCCAGGGGAAATTTAACGTGCTGTCAGTTACTGCTATGATATTTCGTTATTAATCTGCTTTTTGTCATTAGTTTTGGATCAGCCTGTTTCCACCTTTATCTTACTTTCCTAGTTTGAGCAAAAAAATTCTTGGCGATGTGGGAATAAGGATTAGAGGACTGATCTTTGGTGTGATTAAAATGTCCTTAGAGTGCCTTCACCCCCTTCTACCCTGAAGTGGGAACTGTTTTAAGAGGAAAAAGTCAGGCTTTCATTAATGTTTGGTTCATCCAATATTTCAACCAGAAGTCTTAACTCTGCATGCAGCCTTCAAAGGAGAAGTGATTGGCATACACTTTTGGACGGATTTTTTTGTTTATCAACAAAAATAATAAAAGAAAGCACCTCAGGACTTTTGCATTGACTGACACACACACAAACCAAGAAATTAGTTTTACACTGTTTGGTTCAAAAGGTTTAAGTGCCTATGCTCTCTGTTGAACCCCATCTTTAAGGTGTGGTAAAAATAATTAACCATTCCAGACATCCAATAGCATTTGGTTGTATTAGGTCAAAAATGGCAGTTTGAATCAAACACATGAAAGCACTTGGTTAAAAATGTACCACTTGGAAGCCTTTTAAACGTGAATCATTGCTTTTTTTTTCTTTTTACAGAGAGAGAGAAAGGAACAGGGGCAGAGTACAAAACTCACTGCTGCTCTTACACAAATCAGTTTTTCTCTTGTTCATTAAATTTTAAATAGAAACAAAAATTTCCCCTTCATTTTGCTAATAATCTAAAAAAAGAACAGCAAAAGTATTACTGCTATTGACAAGTAAAGGACAATCCTTTATGCAAGAAGTTTGTGCTGATTAAAAAAATACCTTACTTTTTAATTATTACAAAGTATTGACATCGCTGCTAAAATAGATCAGTGTTCAGGAGGACTTTTCCTAGACTGAAGATTTTTCTGGGAACAAGGCCACCAGAACAACACGAGACAAAATTAAACAAAACAAACCAGATATTTATTTTCTTGCTTCCTCTAGATTTCATGCATCCTGACACCTGGCTAGTTGTTTAACAATAGTAATTTGTAATGTTATCACACCGTCTGGCAGCCCTACTGCTCGCTGTATTACTGTGCTAATTCAGGGGAGTGGATTACTACTGCTGGGTTTCGCCTCCCAATTCCAGGTCCTGGAGCCTTCCTTAAGCAACACATAATTAAAACACACTAAAATGGAAATCACAAATTGAGCAGCTTTTGTCTTGTAGGGTGTTTGCACAGTTTGATGAGAACATCTGTGATAAATTACAGTCCCAAATCTGCTAAGGGCATCAGCAGTTTTTACCTGTTTTCAGCATTACTGTTACGAGAATACTGCACATAATTTCTGCATTCAGAATATAGGTTTTACAACTGTGCCTTGCTGAATCATGTCAATACTTTTGTTTCCCCCATCCCCAAAGTCCAGTATTTTTGCCTTTAGCAAATTAAAAAAGAAAAAAGCTTTTTTTTTTTTCTTTACTTCTTCCCCTGAAAGGCAGCTTTGTGCTACTGCAAATATTTAATCTGACTACATGCACCAAATCTGTTAATCTGATACCGTGAGGAGGAGGAAATCTAGGAGTGGTCCTGGTGTGGTACTTGGTTTTGATCTGCTCCGAAAGAAAGCGGATACACTTGCATTTTTGACCAGGACCGATCTTTGAAACATTCTGTGCGTGGCTTTGAAATGTTGATTGTCTTAGCCGGATGAAAAGATGAAGGTGGCTCGTATAATGAGTTGCTTCCCAGAGAGACAGCTCTTGCAGGTAGCACAGCACATTGTTTTCTATTGTAAACCCAGAAACTTTGTAGTTTGGTGCTCTGCTCCCCCTGAAATCTCTGCTCAGTGTTTTATGCCACTCTCCCAGGCTGGCACTGCTCCCATTGCCCTGCTTTCCTGCTCTGCTCCTCGAAGAGGGAGCGTCCTTGCTCCTCCTGGGACTCTGGCAGCTGCTGATCACACAAAATCCGGGCCGTGGGTATTGTAGAGCTGGTGGCAAGGTGTCTGAATCATAGCAAAAGGCTGGCTCAGGAGCCTGGCAACAGAGGAATTCAGATCAGGCTTGGATCAGGTTGAAATTTCACCACTCCTTGGTATAGGAAGTTTCAGGGTTTTTGCTGAAGGTGGGGCAGAAGGAGCTGAGAGAGACACGAAGAAGAGGAAGCAGACAACTCCTCTGTCTGGCAGCAGAGATGTCTATTTACAGAGTATCCAGAAAAGTGGAAAATCAAGTGAGCCAGGACTGAGAAGAGCTGGTGAGGGACGGATGGCTTGCAGGGCCTTGTCTTGATGGGGTCCTGGCAGAGGCACTGCAGCCAGCACCATGACAGGGCATGGGGACTTGTCCATGCGTCCTCAATGCCAGCTGGGGAGAGAGCTGAGCTTTGCCCGCCTCTTTGGGACCCTCATGCAGGTGTGTGGTGGAAAGAAGCTCTCACCAAGCTGGCATATGCTGTCATTGACATAAGGAGGATGATGAGGGTGATGCCTGCAGCTGCTCAGGTCTGTCTGTGTCCACCCTGATCACCCTGGGCTATGGTGGGACCCTGGCTCAGCTCTCAAGGGTGAGCATCCTCAGGCAGCATCGCATCCCTACTAAAAGCCTGTGTTGTCAGCAAGGGGATAGGTTTCGCCCTCTACCCAAGCTGCTCCTCCCTGGGAAGGTGAATGGTTGGTCTTGCTCGTGTTTGATCCTGTCTCTTAGCAGGATCCTTGGGCCGAGACATTGTTGATATCCCTTCCTCCAAATTAGAAATAAAATCCCTCTCCCATCCCATCCCATGCAAAGCTCGCTCTCCTCAGGGGGCATCTGCATTCAGGTTGTGCCAGATGCCCTGAATCCCAAGGTTCATAAGGGTAATGTTGTGTTAGGGCCCGACACCCCCTCGAACCATTGATGGAGAAGGCCATCAGGCCAGAGGGCAGCTGCCAGCACCCCCTTTTCTCTCCCTCTGCTGGTCCTGGTTTGCGAAGCCCAGACTCTGGTCCTCTCCAGCCTGTATCATTTCCAACTGCAGGGGGAGATGTTAAATATCAAACCGGTGTTGATTGGATCAGAGATGGCCTCAAAGAAAGAAACTTTAGACCGTGCCAGATTAAACTTCACACTTCACCATTCTTCCCCTTTCATTTCTTTGCCGCCTCATTCTCTGCACAAATAAACCTTGTCTCTCTGCTTTCTACCAATGAGACAGCATTCAAGGGGCAGGAATGACTTTGTTAACAAAATCAGTCTTCATTTCCCAGGTCCTGCTGTTCCATCAAACCCTGGGACATGGCAGCTTTGATTACTCTAGTGATAGGATTAGAGAGGGAACAAGTGCTGTTTAATAAAAGGCCGATGGGTGGTCCATCATATTTGGTCACTGACAGGTCTGCAGTCTTGGAGCTGGACCTTCGGTGGCAAACCAGCACGACACAGTAATTCACAGACAGGGCCACGGCCTGGACTTGCCAGTCCATCTTCCCTGTCCCCTTGAAAAATTGAACATTTCTGTGATCACAAAGCTGGGGCTCTCAGGGCTGACAGGGACCAGTATAACTGACTTCAAGGGAAATTTGCTGTTTATATGAATGAAAGCCCTGAGCTCAAAGTTTTCTGAACTGGATTAAAGGGCTCAATTTCAGAGCTAGTTGACTTTTGACAGTCCGTGTAGTTTATTTGAGGCAGTATCACTGATTTTTAAATTTTAAAAAATACTTTTAAAAGAAAATTTGGTTTTGCCTGATAGAAATTGTACCTTTTTTGCCTTCAAAAAATTTCAGCCTTCATGAAAATTTGTCAAAAATAGCTTAGCATCGTTTCTTTTGATTGCTGAATATTGTTAAATGTTGTTAAAAGTTTTGTTTATACACAGTTATACATAGTGCGCATATTTTTCAGCTCGCTGGCTTTAATTAAACTATCACCCCCTTGACCCCCCCCACACCTCAGGGTAAAAAAAATGCCCCAGTAAAATTAACCTTGGGGTAGAAATTCATGCAGCAGAAGTAGAAATCCTCCCATTTAACTCCCTTTGAATACTAGTGGAGCTGCTTTAAGTCTTTACCAAGGGAACTGCTGAGGGTGAAACTATGCAGGTATTAAAACTCCAGTAGTCGCAGTAACACCTGAAAGGATCAGCAGCTGACGTTTTATAGCT